GAAATTGCGCGTCTTACAAATTAATTGCGATAGAAATTTCTGATAAGCTATTTTCCATCGCGAATGGGCGGCGTTACTTTGGCGACGGCGCTTCGTATTATCGTTTTCTACAACGACGCGGAAATGCCGTCGTGATCCTGTCGCTATCCAAGAGTCGAGGAGTTGGAGGCAAAGCGAAAAGGCGGAGGTCCAATCGCGTCAACGAGATTACATCGTAGAATTTCATGCCCTCTCTCCCTCTTTCTCTCGTATTACCAAAATCAAAATCTCTTCTCGTGTTATCGCTTACGACCGGTTTATACCAGATACCAGCAAGTTGTATCAAGCAGGGAGCTACTTGTAACAAGTGTACAAACAAGCGTTATTTGCACAAAGATTTTGATCAGGTTTAAGCTAAGACGACGATTTAAAAGAGAAAAATCTTGATCACAATTTAAAAAAAGTCAGAGTGATTGTACACCGAAATAATTAAATGAGTATAGGGTGTTCTTTCCCCTCTGAAAAAATTTTTTTGAGGGACGGTTGCATCGAACATTACAAGTCTAAATATTACGAACTTGTTGAATATCTTGCATATGAATGGTGTTACATGTATAAAATAGTAAAGAAATATGAGAATATTTAGATAAGATTCTGGATACTTTTATCGTGAAACATTCACGCAGCAGAATCAGAAACTTGTGGAAAGCGCATTAGAAAGGTCATGAATTCGTTAGTCGCTATAACCGAATCATCAAACGGCGCGTTGGTTAAGAGGCACGAGGAGAGACGTGTAAAGTCATTCAACAGAGACACAGTCTCTCGTCGTTGTTGACGTCGTTTCGTAGCTGTTAAAATCGACGTTGTTACAAAAGCGGCGTAATGTGGCGCGGAAGCCGCTCTACTCCAGAGCCGGCATTAACGGCGCGTTTCTTGCGCGTCTACGAACTCGCCGGATTATACAACGAATGACATTTTACCCTTCCCTCCTCCCCCCTCCTCCCCCCCGATAATCCTGCGTAACGCGTAACGCGAAGATACGGAAGGATGTTTCGCGCAATGCTAGGGAATGTCGGAGCGACGATAAAAAGGAATCTCGAATGTGTTTTGACCTTTCTAGAAGTAATAAGATGTGTATTACCAGTGAAATGGACGAAGTGAAAGAAAGGAGAAATGAGAGAACGAGAAATAAAATAAAATAAAGAAGACAACATAAATGTGATTAAAAAAAGAATACGTAACACTTGCATAAACATTATATTATCATGATGTTAAAACGTCTCGCGTTTGAGATTCGTTATACGATGGGAATTCTCACCGCCTGCTCGATTAATGGAAAAAGAACGAGAAGGGAGAAGTCGCGCTTTTCCGAAGAGTCGTTAACGTTACATACGAGCGAGAACGCGGAGTTTTAATAACAGAGAGCACAGTTTGTGCCCCGGTATTTCCTCTCGTTCGACATTTAACCGATCTCACACGCCCCTTTCCCTTTGTCGCGCCGGCCCTTCCCGCGGAATTGTTTTTTCTCGTTTCCTGGTTACATTTCTGCTACCAAGTTTTAACAGTAACGGATCAGCAGAACTCAAAGCTCACCCCTGTATTGACAATGCCTGCAGTTCCTCCTCTCTGCGTTACCGTAAAGGACTGGAGAAAAGGAATAATATCTTAAAAGTCAGGAGACAGCATTGAGCTCGACGATTGTTCTTTGTATTCTTATGTATGCGTTTGTATATAACGTCGGAAACTGCAAAGACGCACGTTTGAAAAAACTTTTCGTGGCCTCTAAAATACAACTGCAATAGGTATAGCTCTTCTCCGTAATCTTATGCGCTATTTTTTATTTTGTGATTAATTATCGAAATTGTTTAAATTTTTATCACAGATTTCTTTACATTTTTTATATTATAAATAATAAAATTGTTTCATTTTGGAAGGAATGTTATCCTAAAATTATTATCTTTCAAGAAAAATGCAAAAATTATATCTATTATACATATAAAAATAATTTATATAATGAAAATTTATTTCAACATTCTTTTTAACGAAGCTCTTTCTATTTAAAACGAGTAATATATGATAATTTTAATTTAAGATGCTCATTATTTTATGTTTTTTTTCTGCAATATTTAATAAGAGTTAAGACGTGTCAACGGAAAGTCTTTTGTATCTGACATTTAGTATTTATTTAAATACGATCTCTTTTTCATCGATCGACAATTGTGAAAAAAAAATTTAATTTTGGAGATTGAATTTTCGCCGAATGCTTTTGGTTTATATCTTCTTGCGAGAGGCAAAACAATTTTGGCTGTTTTCTTTTATTGATTTAACCGGTTCTTTATAAATCCTTTTACATGCGTTTTTCGCCGATTATCCAGAAAGGTCGTTGGAAATTTTCCTGCGGAGAACAATAGTCGTGTCAAAAATGATTTTGCGCAAATAAACTCGCTTATTCCTCGCAAGCAAAAGTGTTCCAAAAATGAAGATGCACTCGACAGTAAAAAAAATAACACTAACTATATCTGAAATATATTAAGAATATTGAAAACCCATAAAACAGTAATATAGTCAATGCTTGAGTTAAATTTATTGCGATATTATCCCTGTCAACAAGAATATCTTTTATAATAACAATTTCAAGTCACGGGAAAAGATGTAAAGATGTTTAAGTATATTCTTAAACTTTAGATACTAATATAATTTAACTTGCTAAAGAAAGATCATCTCGATAACGTCTCTCATTTTAGGAAGAAATTTGATTTTAATCGATAGTTTGATCTAGTCAATGGCGATTCTTCAATCTTGGCGACGCTAAAAAGGCGTATAGATAATCCGATTGGATTTTCAGTGGAATAATCAAGACAAAAGCGGTCAGAAACGAATCTCTTCGTCGACGACATCGTTTCCCGATAACTCGCGCATAGAACGACTTGTCTTCCATTTGTGGCGTTAAACCGTGAAATTGCTCGGCCGTTGCACTCGCGGACTGCGATTGTCGATGCCAGACACGCCGGAAGTCGACTTTATGGCAGCCGTGGGCGCGCGCATACGCAGTGGATGGACCTCGGGGGCCGTGAAAAGGGGAGTGAAATTGGAACGAAAAAAGAACTGCAGAATAAAAACTAAAAGTTACGGGGCGGTCGCGAGACCCGGTGCCAAAAAGGGTTGAAAGCGCGACGCGAACGCGCGCCATTCTCTTTCTCCCCGTCGCTTTCCCTTTTTCTTTTTTTTTCGTTTTAATTTCACGCCCGCGCCAATTTTCGGGCTTTTCGCAAGCGCAAGAAGAGAGAGAGGTTATCGGCGTCGATTTATTACGCCACGCCGAGCGAAAGGCATACCGGGGTGCAAATCGCTGAAAATCTATTCTCAAAGAGAGAAGATCGGGGCCGTTTAGTTTTCTTCGAGCTCAACGAATAACGCTGGATAATGAGAGCGACATGCGGCTTGATCGTCATCCCCCCATTAGTCGAATATTACATAATCCGACCTCAGATGCTCTTATGATGAAGCTCGTCGTGTGCCCGGAAAACTCTATATTCTCGTAACCGAAAAGAGGAGTTTCAACTTATACGGGAGAGATCAAATTAATCGCGACATAAAGACGATCGAATTCCGTTCTCGGATCGCGGCGCATCAATCAACCCGCCAGCGAATCGTTCCAGGACTTTCCGGGAGCGATGCTCTGGATGTGCACCTTAATGAAATTAATGGTATCGGTAGCAGTCGTATATTGCCGGTTAGCCGACGCTCTCGACAATGACGGAATCTAGTTGGCGAAACAACTTCGATAAAGCTCCGGATTCGTTCCGACAGTGATGTATACGCAACACGGACATTTTGGATTTTGGCTTCTGTGTTTCATATTTCATCTCCCATCTCTCTCGCCCTTTCTCTTTCTCTTTCCTTTTTATCTTGGTTTTTAATATTATATATATTCTTATATTGTTATTTTATTTATCATTTTACTATTTTATATTGCTTTCTATTTTCTTTTTATATATTATTTTATTAATTTATATATGATTTATTATACAAGATGTCATAGAGAATACAAAGCGTATTTCTGATCAAAAATGCATTTTGTCTAAGAAATAAATATTGCTTTCTTTTTTTTGCTCTATACTTGTCGTTTCCGTCTCACCCTCGCGCCCACCGCTATTGATAGAGCGGGCAGCATCTTAACCAGTACCGATTCGGAACTAAGCTCGTCTACTTGGCAAATTCCCTTTCGTGCGCCATTCGGCACGGACGTGTACGTACGTAATCGCCTTAGAATCACCGATTCCATTTCAGTGCTTGCTGTGGAACAGATAGCTTCCTCGGTACGGCGGACTTGTGCCTCAGATCGATTCCGGAGTCTGGTATACCTCCGAATTCGTAGAATCCGAAATCCACGAGTCTATAATAACTAGGAGATATCCTGTAATCTCAGATTTCGAGCATAGCGATTTGTATCGCGTGATGTTTGGATATCTACGATTTCGAAAGGATGATAGGATCTAAGATGATACTAAAATTTATCTTAATAACTGAGGCTATAGATTACGCGTTCATTCCCCCACAAATACTTTATCCATCTTTTGAACTTAGGGTCAACGTCAGATGAACGTTTCAGTTAGAACGTAATTTGCCGGAGAAATTGAATCGCATCTGACGTGTCCGCGATGATCGAGCTTGCGGATAAGCTCGCGCCGACGACGTCGACGACGACCGTCTCTAAATCCCGGCTGATATTAAGCGGTATTTCTGATTTATAGTCGGCGTCCCTCGCGCAATTAAAGCGGGCCCAGATGAAAAACGCCATCCATTTTTATCTATCGGCTGCGTAATCTATCGCAATTAATTTCAACATACGGTTTCGCGCGTCTTCTCCTTAATTGACATTAAGTTTCTCCATCTATCTTTATTATTCAACATTTCAACAATCAAATTTTTGTATTTCCTTTTTTTTTTAAATTATTATGTATACCAAGAATAAAGTATGCAGAAGTATACTCAACTCTGCTCCTTTGCTCTGTTTACAGAAGATGGGCTCGGTGCACGGCGAAGAACTTCCATTCGTCTTCGGGGCGCCGTTGTGGGTGGAGGGATTTGGCCATTTTCCGAAAAACTACACGAGACTGGAGATGGCACTCTCGGAAAGTATCATGCAGTATTTCGCCAACTTTGTGAGAACCGGGTAAGTGGGTTATACGATATTCAATCAATTCCCGATATTGATGGAACTTGAATTGAAGTTGGGGAACAAGGATGCGAAAATTTGAGAATTTTAATGCAATGGATATCGCGCGAATAGCAACTCTGCTCGGCACAAAACGTGACGTTGCACGCTATTTTTTTTTTTTTCCTGTAACTTATATTCATTCCAAAAGCGAATTTTAATTTCCACTTGCGCAAATTGCATTTTTGAAATTCACTCTTTTTCTTTCGGTCGCACTCTGCACGCACCACTTGCGGAATCAATTTGCGGCCGAAAAAAAAGCATCGAAAAGCGTCTAATTTTCCATATTCATGAGCGGCGCGGAAAGTTCGCTTGGCGGTGATGCGGAAAGGGAGGAGACGCGTAAGAGACGATCATAGGAATGAGGAAAGCGGCCTCGTTCGACATTATAGAGTTAAAATATTTTCACGCACGCTAATCAAAGTTTTTTGCTCGTTTTTTTAATTTTATCCCCAGTTATGTAAAGCCAACAAAGAAACAACAAAAATTGAAATTATTATTTCACATGAAACATGAGACTAATATCTTCGAAATGTGATGATAATTGCGAAATACAGAATAGAGAAGAGAGAGAAAACAAGTAAGTTTGCTATATCTATGTATAGATACATTTATGATATATTACACTGTATATGTTAAGCTTTTTATACTCCTCATCTTGTTTAATGAACTCTTATATATACGTAGCTAGGCATCATAAATGTCTTGACGTTTGCTAAATATTAGTAGATATATTTAATGCTTTAAAAAGAGAGGAAGTTAATGGAAAGTATTATATTACTAATTATATATACGTAATACATGATATTATTTTTTTTATTGAAAGTGAAAGAAAAATCGAGTAGAGTGTTTGTATAAAAAGATAGAAAAAAATATTTTCGCACGTTAAAAATATTTTGTTTATGACAATTTCCAGTATTTTATTTTTACGCAATATCAGAATCTACAAATATTTCGTCCTGACAAACACGCGCGTACGCGCGTATGTTGCCTATTAGTAACACCATGAAAAAGCCACGCCAGTAAATATTTAAAAAATATACATGAAATATTCATAAGTACAAACATAAATTCTCTCGAGTTCGCGATCAATAACGTGTTTGTTTTCCTAAATTCCATTTTTATTGACCATTTGTTACTGCAAAATAAACGTGTTTTGCATTTCTGAGCTGTTTATTGCAACAAGAGATCGATAAATAAATTAGAGATAACAATGCGAGCTTTACAAACTTATACTCCATGCAAATTAGTGTTTAGTTCCTGAGATCTTATTGAGTTTTGAATTAAGTTTTGATGCTCGGAAACTTTGAACTCTTTGTACTTTGGAATTGTCGACATTCCGTATTCTGTTTAAATTTTGTCTTAAAAGCTTGAAATTTCTATAGGATAATGATATATACAAATAATTTTTATTATAATCAACAATATTCACACAAAGTTTGTTACCTTCTACATTTTTTTAAAGTTTTAAGAACTAAAATTTTTCACAATCCCAGAAATTTTCAAAGTTTTAGTAATCATATAAATTTCCATGATCTTGTGTAGATTCAAAAATTTTAAAAAATGCAGCATTTCTCAAAATTTATATATTTCAAGTTTCAGAAATACACCAAGGATTTTCAGAATAATTTGAATAAACTTTCTAAGAATCCAATTATTAAATTATCCAAAACATAAAATTTATGAATTCTCTGCAATTTCTAAATCTTGTTTAAATATTTTATATTTTAGAAATCTAAACTTTGCACAAACATAAAATTTTAAAGATCCAAGGAGTTCTCTAAAATTTCAAGGATCCAAAAACTCGAAATATCCATATATTTCTCAGGTTTCCAACCAGATAAATCTTTCAAAGTTTAGGGACGAATCAGAGCAGGTTATTTCTGAAAAAAGGGCTTGTTTAGGATTATTCAGGAAAACTCGACATTGTTGGACAAGTTGTCCTGCGCACAGGGGAACGCCTCGAAATATAGTTATTATACAGCGACGCCATCGTGTCGAGCTAGCTCTCGTGTATTTACGCGCGTGTGTGCGTGTACGTGACCGTCGAGGCTGCGAATGGAATATCGATGAAGGTGTGAGAAATATTTTGCTCGGTAAAAATTCTCGAAAAGGCTTCGTTCTTATTTGAAAGCCGTTGCCGTCTCTTCGGAGACCAAAGGAAATGAAACCTATCTGCCACGCGAACATTCTTTCGCGAGGAAACGAGATTACGTTTTCCCCAGAATGGAAATAATACTTAGAGGATTATACTTAATGTCTTTGACTCTCTCTTTTCCAACTGAGTTTCAGAGCAGACAGTTTCCCTTGTTATTTTTTCTTTTTGTAAAATTACACATGCAAATGCATACATACACATTAAAGTAGCTAGTAACAAGATTATATTTTTCAAAACTTTTTATTCTACTTTCAAGGATTTTTAAAAAAGTTTTTAAAAAAGGATTTTTAAAAAATTTTTGCTACTGTAGAAGTTTAATAGGTTTATTAGTCCACATCAATCAATTCAACCAATTATATAATGCAATTTAATATTGAAAAAAAATAAAATTCGGTTTGTTAAAATCAGCATCAATTATAATGTTGATGTAAGTGATTGATTGCACAACGGAAGCTAGGAGAACTAGTACTAGGATGATCGAATAATACATATATTTGTGTGGAGCGTTTCTTGCGGCGAGTAAACACTGACCGCGCCAATAAAGTACGATCGTTTCGCGGTAACGTGTATTCGGCGCGTATATCACATCCCGTACCAGCACCAGACCCGATTCGCACGCAAAAGACCTGGAATATCGATTCCCCTTTTGCCCGAATGCATCGGCGATGCATCGCCGAAGCGTATTTCACGTCCGCTCGGAGCGACGACGAGCATCGGAACATCGTCGGCTCGTTTCGGTGCCGCTCTTGCATATTCATCGAAAGGACGAAGGGGTTAAACGAACTTTCGCATATGTCGCCAATAACTTTGTAGTTTCGCGGTAGACCTCCCCCGCACGTGGTTTAACCCTCACCCCGGCTCGAGGGCGGTTCCGGGACAATGTGTATCGACACACACGTGGCGTGTGTTCGGAAACAGGCAGACTATTCTATATACAGGGAACATATTCTGCTATAGAGCACGCAGTGAAGATTTTTATCGGGAATTTGCTCTCGTGCGTTTTTATACCGAGCACGACTAACAAGTATCGTACAAGGCAAACTCTCTTTAAGTTTTCTGTACAATTAACGTTAATTCGAAGCGAAAAAATATGCAGATTATATTTATCTTGAATTGGAAACACGCAAGAGGCGACATTATGTTGATCTACTGGATACAAATTTTGCAGTATATCCATTTTGCAGTCATTCATCATGATGACAGTTTACTAACGAGAAATGTTTAGTAAAACGTTTTCCCTGCACTATTAAATAGCGTTACCGTAAGATTGTTAGTTGAAAGTTGGAAGTCGCTAATCATATAATCCTTTGAGAATATAACGACCGTTAGGTTCCTTGAGACTCGTTACGTTAACGCCTGGCCTGACGTTGATTGTCGGAATTCCAACGTATTGATTCGGAATTTGCCGTTATGCCACTGGCATATAACACCTTGTCAGGACATTCCGTATAGACGACAACATGCGCGAGCACATCCTGTGCGCGATCACGCACAGAGCAACGTAGTTTGTCTCACGTAATTCCTGTGTGTGTACGTGACCGTGTGTCTCAACTCGTATCTCAAAATTACTCGCATTGTATTATACATGTTGCTGTGGCGGAGACGCGTTGACACCGTCGACCGATCCGATTGGTTAATACGTGACGTCTCGGAGTTTGCAGTTTAGTTCGTAGTTAGTCGGGGGGATAAGTCAGGGCGACGGATGTCGACAAATCCGTGGAAACGCTCTCGATATATGTATCTCGTGTATAAGAAACGACATTGTGCCGTTTCTACGTAGCCTGTTACCTAACTTATTTTCCACGTTCTCTTAAATTGAATCGAAAATGTCACACTTGAAAATCAGTGAAACACTCGTACTTTACTCCTCCGTTAGTGAAACACTCGTGCTTTGCTCCTCCGTTTCGTGTTTCGCTGATTATGGCAGGAAAATTTTACTGAAAAATGAGCTACAAACTGATTCTTTTCAATGAGATTTTACTGTTTGCATCCTTATAATTGAAACCATTGCTATCATTGATAATACACCGATTCCATTCAAGAGAATAATTCTAAGTTTTACAAATTCTTGAATCTGTCCTTTTTCCGGTGTAAAAAGCAGTTCTATTTCGATTGAATGAGGAAGAACGCAATTGAATTTTTGTAGCAAGATCCACAGTGCGATTAAGCATACATAAGTGAACCACGAAATAGCCAAATGCCGGCCGTCATCCCCCTCTCGCTATTAAAACGTTGAATAACGGCGGAGTTGGTCCTCCGCAGCTTAAAAAAAAAATGGGCGAGCAATGAAAACGAGCCGGTGATTTCGCCCGCGCGTCGACCCGGATTATAAATCATCGCTCAAATGCTCATTTCGGCCGATGAGCCGCGCGGCACAAATGTGATTCAAAATAAACGTTAAAAGCCGGTTTCCGCTCCGGACCGCGTCCCATCACGCGTTTTATCGGTCGTTGAAACCATGGCGCCGGATGTACGTGCACGTATACAAAAAAGCAAATCCGCGTCAAGCGTCGGAGGAAATGTTGGCGAAATGATTCCCGCAAATTTACCGCGCTTTCGTATTTCCCGCTTTTATGTCACGTGATTAAATTCTCAAGATGCAAATTGATTACTTAGTACTTGATTTTATCTACAAAAAATAAAAAAAGAAATATGTTGATTGTAAAATCTACAAATTTTTGAAAAATACACGTCAACTTTATGGCACTTTTTATCAGATTTCGTTTTTCTTTTATCTTTTGGTATTTATTGCGCTAGATTGATAATTAAAATTTATCTTAAAGCCGCTTGAAAAACTGTG